TAGAAACATGCTTTAAAAGGTAATCCAGATAGGGAAAAAAGACTTTAAAACAACCACGATTAATTTGCTCAGGAAGAAGAAAGTAGATGAAATAATGGAGAATTTCACCATAAAGTTGGATATGTGAGAAGAATCACATGGAAATTCTATTACTGTAAAATATAATACCTAGAATTCAGAACTCAATGAAATTAAAAATTCAAGTTGAGCAGAAGATATTGTTAGTAAACTTGAAGAAAAGTCAATAAAAATATCCAGAGTAAAATAAACATAATTTTAATTCACACAGAGTAAAGCACAGGGAGAAAAAAGAAAGGAAGTAAATAGAACAGAGCCAAAGGATGAAACATAACTCTAGACTTTAGAAAGGAGAGAGAAAATTGGCAAAAGCAAAGATCCAAAGAGACAGTGGCCAAAACTTTGTTTATAAAATTGATGGAGCTTCATGCTTACAAAGCTCAAAAAACTCCAAATAAGACAATACAAAGAAAAAAACATGTAGGCACATCATGGTGAAATTGTTGAAAGCCAAGACAATTAAAAATATTAAAAGTAGCTTAAGGAAAGACATTACTTTCAAAGTCCGACAAATGATTTCCCTGGAATTATGGAAACTGGAGACCGAAGAATAGCGTTTTTTAAAGTGTTGAAAGAAACTAACTGCCATCCTAACCTAGAGAAAATATTAATATCTTTCAAAAACAAAAGTAAGCCAGGCAAGGTGGTTCACGCCTGTAATCCCAGTACTTTGGGAGGCTTAGCTGAACATGTTGGCGCACGCCTGTTGTCCTAGCTCCTTGGGAGGTTGAGTCAGGAGGATCACAAGAGCCCAGGAGTTGGGTGACAGAGGGAGATCCTGTCTCTAAGATAGATAAATAGGCAGACAAGCAACAAAAGTAAAAGATTTTTTTTTAAGATTAAAGAATTTTTAAATTTCTGAGGAATTTAAAAGAAACATTGCTCTTTCTTGGGTTGCTTGCTCTTTTGTCATGAGGACTCCAAAGCAGCCCGAGGTGAGGCACACATGGGGAGGAACTGAGCCCTCTTGCCAACAATCAGCATCTTGTGAATAAAACATCTCGAAGCAGATCCTCCAGCTCCCGTCAAGCCTTCAGATGACTCCAGCCTTGGCCAACATTTTGACTGCAGTCCCTGGTTATGACCCTGAGCCATAACCATCTAGCCAAGCCTCTCCTAGATTCTTGACTCATCAAAGCTGTGTGAGATAATAAATATTTTTTGTTGTTTAAAAAAAGAGACATAAAGAAAAGCTAAAGGGAATCCTCAGTTAAAAGGAAAATGATCTAAAAGAAACAAATGTAAGAAGGAATGAAGAA